AAAAAATTCAGTCACAAAACATCCAGGATATCTGGTCCACTATGAAAAGAGCAAATCTATGAATGATAGGAATAGAGGAAGGAGAAGCAACCTACCTCAAAGGCTCAGAAAATGTCTTCAACAAAATCATAGAAGGAAATTTCCATAGCCTTAAGAAGGAAGGGCCTATCAAGGTACAAGAAGTATACAGAACACCAAATAGACTGGACCAACTGAACCAGAAAAAAAAGTCCCTACTACACATAATCAAAACACTAAGCAGAACAAAGAAAGAATATTAAAAGCTGGGAGGAAGAAAAAAGGCCAAGTAACATATAAAGACAGACTTTTAGAATAACTCCTGATTTCTCTCAGTGGAGACTCTAGAAGCCAGAAGGGCATAGATGGATGTTTTACAAACTCAATAGATGACCACAGATGCCATCTCAGATTATTATACCCAGCAAAAAATTTCTTCATTCAGTGAATGAAGAAAAACACTCCACAATAAAACCAAATTTATTTATCCACAAATTCACCTCTAGAGAAGGCACTAGAAGGAAAAGGTCAACTGAAGAGTTTAACCACTCCTAAGAAAACATAAGGAACAAATGATTCCAGACCAGCAAATCAAAGGAGGGGAAAAAACCCACACCACCACAACAAAATAGCAGGAATGAACAAACACTGCTCATTGACAACTTTCAACATCAATGGTCTCAATTATCCTAATAAAAAGATGCAGACTGGTTGGGGATTTAGCTCAGTGGCAGAGCACTTGCCTAGCAAGCACAAGGCCATGGGTTCAGTTCTGAAAAAAAAAGAAAAAAAGATGCAGACTAACTGGATTAAAAAACAGGATCCATTGTTCTGCTGCATCCAAGAAACATACCTTAACATCAAGGATAGATATCATCTTAAGGTAAAGGATGGAAAAATATATTCCAAGCAAACAGACCCAAGAATCAAGCTGGTATAGCCATTTTTTATATCTGACAAAATAGACTTCAAACCAAAGCTAATCAGAAGAGCTAGAGACGGACATTATATTCTCATCAAAGGGAAAAACCCACCAAGAGGATATTGCCATTCTAAACATCTATGCATAAAAAAGTTCATGAAAGAAATCACTATTACAACTAATATCATGTATTGACCTTTATACAGTGCTAGTGGGTGATATAGGTACCCCACTCTCCCCAACAGATAGGCCATCCAGACAAAAACTAAACAGAGAAATGCTAGGGCTAAATTATGTCATAAATCAAATGGACCTAGCATATATTTACAGAACACTTTACCCAAACACGAAAGAATAATCCTTCTTCTCAGCAGCTCATGAAACTTTCTCCCAAATTGACCACATGCTTAGAAACAAGCAAATCTCAAAAGATGAAAGAAAATAGAAATGACACCCTGCATCCTATCTGACACCACCGATTAAAGCTGGACAAATTCTTGATAGAACAACAAAAATAAGAGAAAACTTACAAACTCATGGAAGCTGAACAACTCACCCCTGAATGAAAAATGGATCCATACAGAAGAAAGAAATTAAAAACTTTCTAGAATTGAATGAAAATAAAAATACAACATATCCAAACCTATGGGACACAATGAAGGCAAATATAAAAGGCAAGTTCATAGCACTAAGTACCTACATAAAAAAATCGGAGAGACCTCATATTATGAACTTTATGGCACACCTGAAAGCCAGAGCAAAAAGAAGAAATCACACCCAAAAGGAGTAGAGGGCAAGATAATCAAACTCAGGGCTGAAATCCATAAAAATAAAAATAACAACAAAAACAATACAAAGAATCAATAAAATGAAGAGGTTTTTTTGTTTGTTCACTTGTTTTTGTTTTTTAGAAAAGGGCCATACCACACTGATCTCTGAGTTCAAGGCCAGTCTGGTCTACAGAGTGAGTTCTAGGACAGCCAGAGCTACACAGAGAAACCCTGTCTTGAATCTGCACCCCTGAAAAAAATATTAAAGAAAGAAAGTTAATAAGGTTGATAAACTCTTAGCCAAATTAACTAAAAGGTGGAGAAAGAAGATTCAAAGTAATGAAATCAGAAACTAAAAGGGAGGCATAAAGCAGACATTGAGGAAATAGAGAATCGTTAACAATACACTTTAAAACCTGTAACTCCACTAAATGGAAAAATCTAAAAGAAATGGATAAATGTCTTGATACATTTCACCTACCAAAATTATATAAAGATTAGAGAAACAATTTAAACAGACCTACAACCCCTAGTGTGATAGAAGTGATAACCAAGTCTCCCAAGCAAAGTAACCTCAGGGCCAGATGGATTCAGCACAGAATTCTACCAAATTTTAAATGAAGAATTAACACGAATACTCCTCAAACTACTCTGCAAAATAGAAACCGAAGGAACATGGCTTAATTTTTCTTACAAGGCCACAGTCACCCATGTACCTAAACCACACAAAGAAAGAGAATTACAGACGAGTTTTCCTTTGGCATAGATGCAAAAATTCTCAAAAATATCTGCAAACTGAATTCAAGAGCATATCAGAAAGATTGTCCACCATGATCAAGTAGGCTTCATTCAGGATATTCAGGAATGGTTCAACATATGTAAATAAATTAATGGAATCTACTATATAAACAGACTGAAAGACAAAGTCTACATGATTACCTCATTAGATACAGAAAAGACCTTTTACAAAATCCAGCACACCTTTAAGGTAAAAGTCCTGGAGAGACTAGGAATACAAGGGACATACCTCAGCATAATAAAGGCAATTTACAGCAAGCCCACAGCCAACATCAGCCTAAATAGAGAGAAACTGAAAGCATTTCCACTACAATCAGGAAGAAGACAGGAACAAGTCCACTCTTCTCTCTCCATACTCATTCAATATAGTACTTGAAGTCTTAGCTAAAACAGTAAAATAACCAAAGGAGATCAAGGGAATACAAATAGGAAAGGAGGAAGTCAAGATGATATGATTGTATACATAAACTAACCGAAGACTCCCATCAGGAATCTTTTGTAGCTGATAAACACTTTCTTTATTTGCAGATGATATGATTGTATACATAAATGAACCAAAGGCTCCATCAGGAATCTTTTGTAGCTGATAAACACTTTCAGTAATGTAGCAGGATACAAACAACTCACAAACATCAGTAGTCTCCCTGTACACAAATGACAAACGAACTGGGAAAGAAATCAGTGGAACAACACCTTTCACAACAGTCTCAAAATAAAATATCTTAGAGTAACTCTAATGAAGCAAGTGAAAGACTTTTATAATAAAAATTTTAAGACATTGAAGAAAGAAATTGAAGATATCAAACAATGTAAAGATTGCACATGCTCATTGACTGGTAGGATTAATATAGTGAAAATGGCCATCCTACCTAAAGAAATCTATAGATTCAATGCAATCCCCATCAAAATTACAACAGTATTCTTCATAGAAATTGAAAGGACTGTTTTCAGCTTCATATGGAAACACAGAAAATCCCAGACACCTAAAACAATCTTGAATGATAAGAGAACTGATGGAGGTATCATCATCCCTGATCTCAAATTGAGATCCTACTTGAGTAATTAATTGAGTAATAGAAATATTACTACAGAGCTATAGTAATAAAAACAGTATAGTGTTGGCATAAAAACAGATATGTAGATCAATGGAATCAAATTTAAGCCCAGACATAATTCTACACACCCATGGATTCCTGATTTTTGACAAAGAAGTCAGAAATACACATTGGAAGAAAGAGAGCATCTTCAACAAATGGTGCTGGCCAAACTGGATGACTGCATGTAGAAGACTTCAAATAGATCTGTATTTATTACCTTGCATAAAACTCAAGTTCAGTGGATCAAAGATCTCAACATAAGGCCAAATATCCTGAATCTGATAGAAGAGAAAGTGGGAAATAGTCTTTGTCATAGGAAGAGACTTTCTGCATAGACACCTTAAACAACAATTAATAAATGGGGCCTCATGAAACTGACAAGCTTCTGTATGGAAAAGGACACCATCATTCAGACAAAGCAGCAGGCCACAGAACAGGAAAAGATTTTGATCAATGACACATCCAATATCTAAAATATATAAAGAACTAAAAAGAAGAAGAAAAAAAAAAACTGGGCCGGGCGGTGGTGGCGCACGCCTTTAATCCCAGCACTCGGGAGGCAGAGGCAGGCGGATCTCTGTGAGTTCGAGGCCAGCCTGGTCTCCAAAGCGA